CGTTCAAGTTCCCTCTTTTCCTGCTCAGCAGCGGCAAGATTGTGCTGGAATTTGGCAAGACGATCCTGAAGATCACGCTTCTCTTCCTGCAGCTTTCCAATTCTTGCTACAAGCTCTTCTTCCGCTTCCTTCTGTTGGCGTAGCATCTGTTGAAGTTGACGGATTGAGCCCTCGAGCTCCATTCGTCGTACTTCAGAATCTGCTTGATCGTTCTTCATCTGTTGCATTCTGTCTTGCATAACATTGCTTCGGTTCTTGGCYTCTTGTTGTGCGTTCTTGAGTGCTTCGAGTCTCTCCTGCATAACTCGTCTGTCGTGTTCACTGTTTGTCAGAGCRCGCTGCAGCTGTTGTAGCTTCTCTTGTARAGTCTGTGATGTGTTATTGCTGTCATTAAGTGACATGGATAGCTCTGTGACCTTGTTTTTGAATGCTTGTTCTTCCTCCTCGGTTTTGGCGAGCGCAAGTGTGAGRCGRTCAACGGTAAGTTGAAGGGATGTCGCACGGGACTCGAGYTCCTGTTGCGCTTTGAGAAGTTGGTCTAAGCGCTCTCGAAGAGCTTGTTTTTCTGCTTCGCCCTCGGAGTTGAGCATGCGCAGACGTTCGATGTCCCCTGTTAAACGACAAAATAACAGTCGTTAAAATCATGATACTTATGGTGCATGAAAATGGTCCGACTGCGGCATTCAATATTTTTAACTGGAATCCAATATGATCATTTATCTATTGATCGCTTTCAATCTTCCMCATGAGATTCAARAGATAAAATACTAACCTTCAAGAGAGCGTTTCTTCAATTCAATCTTCGTCAGGCGAGATTCCGTGTTCTCAATCTGAGACCTCATGGCTTCTTTCTCTTGGTCACTCTTAGCCTCACTRTGCTGTAGCCCACTGATCTTATCCCTAAGCTGTCGTCTATCAGCCTCAGCTTGAGCAAGACTGGAATCTAGTGCCGCGATCTTCTCGTTCATGCCTTTCCGTTCTCGCTCCAGTCTCCTGATCGTTTCTTCCTGGAGCATGAGTGCAGTCTGTGCACTACTCAAACGACCATCGGCGCCTCGTCGGTTTTCTTCGGCCTCTCCGAGTGATTTCTGAATGTTCTGCATTCGCTGGTCCATTTTAGCRCGYTCTTCCTCCATTTCTTGAAGGAGTTTTTGCAAGCTGTTGACTTTTGCAACCGCYTCGTCGCGCTCTCGTTCAGCCTCTTTCATTGTCTGGGCGAAGTCTCGRAGTGCAAGTCGTACTGTTTCCGGATCAATTTCACCACCGGACAWTGACGTGTCACCCATGCGAGTRGGAGACAACTGGCGGATTGGTGAGACGGAGCGGCGAGTTCCTGCGTCGGTGTCGTCCATCGTCTTTTCGGGGGATTTGGATCGGCTTCGACCGAATCCACGGCGACGGGGACTAGGACTGCGTGCCTTGGATGGGGATGGTGATCTATGGAAAATAGAAAAAATGTATTTATCGAACTATGAAAGAAAGGTTTTTACTCCATGAAAACTAATTATGATGATAACACGTTAATTGAGGCAACACTGAGCCACAGGAACGGATTCAGGGGAGGGGAAAAGGGGAGTCCCCTCCCTCTTTTTCTCATTTAAAGTTGCTCTAGATTTCTCATTKCAATTTCAAAAAAAATTCCTCTTTCTAACTTTGGATCAGTAAATTCCCCCCTGTGGAATATTTCTGGATCCGCCCATGAGTCAATACAAAAAAAGGTCAGATGAAACGAAATTAAGCGTAAAGGAACAAAACCGTACGAAATTACACGAACAAAATATTTCCTTTCTTACCTTCCCATTTCGCCAGGTGGCTTGATGCCCAAAGTTCKCCTCAAAGTCGAATGAAGACTGGCCAGCTTGAACTCCAAGTCGTTTTTCACTCCTTCCATCCTAGCCAGCTGAGATTCTAATCCAGTTATTCTTCCTTCAGATCCACTCAACTTCAGCTTCAAGTCACTATTATCCTGGTTGCARTTTTCAATGATGTTCTCGAGGTTCTTGACCTTTTCCATGTTTTTCATYTCGCCACGTCGCGATTCGTCTAGAGACGTGCTAAGATCTTTCTCTCTGACTCGTGTGTCTTCTTCAAGTTCAGCCATCTTGCGGTTTAAGTTCTGAATTTCGCGCCTGGCGGCTTCTTTTTGGCCGTCTGTCTCGACAAGCTTCTGCTTGAGGTTGTAGTTATCACGGCGCATCTCGTTGAGAAGCTGTTCCTCTTTGGCAAGTTGGTCTTTCAGATCTGCAATTTCTTTTTTACATTTGAGGCACTCGCCGTCCAGCATCTTGACCTGATTGTGGAGTTGTTGYAACTCTCTTCTCGCCTCGAGTCTTGCTTTTTCGACCTCTCGTAAACTTCCTCTCAAATCACCGACCTCCTTCTGYAGACCATTCCTTGTCTCTTCAAGCGATGCGATCTTCTGAGCAGACTCGTCGAGTACTCGTTTGAGATTCGTTTTCTCGGCTTCGGCTTTCTTGACCTAGTGAAAAATCAATCTCATTAAAATTACTAATTTGAGCTTTATTTGACATGATTCTAAAAATGATGTAAAAATAATTGTTGTTTTTTATCAATGCGGAGTCCTAAAACAACAGGACACAACGACATAAGCGTGACATACACATAAGAAAATGAAACCTTTTCCATTCCTTATGATTTTATCTATCTAAGGTTATGTTTATTTCTTTGATAATTCTTATGACTATGTCTGTGTTTATGCTTATGTCATTACGGCTCTCTTGTAAACCTAAGAAACATAAGTACAGCGATATCYTAGGCCTTCTGCTTATATGTATGTCGCTGTGTGAGAGCCACAACTAGGTAAATGATCGCCATTATCTCATTTCACATAATGTACATACAGTTTCGTAGCTTTTTGCCCCTTCTAAACTCGACTATTACAACCATTTATCACCAAACGATACGCACCTTTCCTTTAAGATCATTAGCTGTTTGTTGCACGGCCTCCTTCTCCTTTTCTTCATCCTTAAGTTGTCGTTTTAAGTCWGTATTCTCTTTCCTTGAGGCTTCTCTGGCTTCTTCTCCCTCGCGAATCTTTCGGTGTGCATCGATAAGCTCTCGGCGGACTCCATCGCGGGCTTCTTCCGCCATTTTGAGCTGGAGTTTCAGTTCRCTGATCTCGCGTAATGCATTCTCTTTGACCTTGGCTAGATCTTTGATTTGGTTTTTCAGGTCTGCACTCTCGGCTTGGGAGCGTTTTCTGGAAAGAAAATAAAGAAGAGGGAATTAGATGAAAATGARGATTTTTTTTCAYAAGTTTTGATTTTCATGGGTCATGTGTAKCTGAGAACCTCACACACGAAAAATAGCCATCTTTGACTTTGAACCTATCAGAAAGCATCTTTCAACAACAGATCGTTTTAACAACAGCTTGGAGAGTTTGTTCGGGCAGTTTTTCGCGATGTAGTCACACTGCAATGGATATGAAATGAGCGTTCTACAAYCCAACTTACACGGCCTCTTCGAGCTGAGTCTTAGTGTTTCGWAGATCATCCTGCGTTCGAGTAATGGCGGCTTTGTCTTGCTCAGCGCGACTGAACGCATCGCGTTTCAATCGGTCAATTTCCACGCCAGCGTTGTCTCGCTCGTTTTGGATTTTTCCAAGTTTCTCGACAAGCACRGCCTTCTCGTTGGCSGCACGATGGAGTTCTTSCTGCTTCTCGTTCTCAGCCATGAGAAGTTGGTCGTCGCGTTCYTTCTGGACGATAGCTACCTCGTTCATGAGAGCGTATTTTTCTTTCTCCATTCGCTTTTGGAGTTCATCCTGAAGGGAAGATTGAAGGTATTAATTTTGATATTAACGTTGGTAACGCCACAATCGAAAACAAAATGATCAATATTGTTAGCAATAACAAGCAATAAAGCATCATCATCAACTACAGTAATGGAGACAACAGAAACAACTGTAGCAACAACAGTAGCAACGACAACAGCAGCAACAACAACAACAACAACAACAGCAGCAGCAACAACAACAACAACAGTAGCAGCAGCAACAACAACAGTAGCAACAACAACAGCAGCAGCAGCAGCAACAACAACAACAACAGTAGCAGCAGCAACAACAACAGTAGCAACAACAACAGCAGCAGCAGCAGCAACAACAACAACAACAACAGCAGCAGCAACAACAACAACAACAACAGCAGCACAGCATCTGCAGAAACCACAACAGCAGCAGCAACAGCACCAACAAAAAACAACAACAACAGCTCACCTTCTCGTTCTTCACTGCAGCTAAAACCTCTTCTTTCTCTTGGTTAGCTTTAAGTAATGCGCTCTCTTTCTCCCTCTTCAATCTGTCGGTATCTTCTTCATGCCTTTGTTCCAGTCTCTTGACAGCAACTTCTCCATCGCGCTGGGTTTGGCTTAACTTTTGCTCAACCAATTCCTTGTCCTTCTGTAGCTTCGCTTCYTCAATCTCCTTCTCTTTCCTGACTCGTTGTAGGTCGACCGCAAGTGCTTCTTTAGCCAGCAGAAGTTCTTGGTTCTCGCCTTCAAGTGCCTCTTTACGTGATTCAAGCTTGCTGGCRGTTTGCTGAAGCTCGTACAAGGCGTTTTCTAAGGATTCTTTCTCGCTCTTGAGGCTGGCGATGTTCTCAGCGAGGGCACGATTGTCTCGTTCGGCAGCATTGACCTTAA